CTATATGTTCAGTTTTTCTTTCATTTCTTTGAAAAAATGTAACATGCACAATCAAGAGATAACACATAAAGCAAATATCTTTCCGCGAACCAACCTGTGGTTGGATGGTTAGAGGGATTGTGGTGTCCCCAGCTCGCATTTATTCCTGCATTTATTTCAGAATTTCCGGCGATGCGCATTCAGTGGGAGGAGACATTCCCCTCGACGACGAGGCACCTACGGTAACTTCGTAAATCTCAAAATGATATGTCGGCTCATAGGAGCAGGATGTGCGTATGTGCGTTCATAGATAAAAAAAATGCACTGGTCTCCTTTCCGTTGGAAGCCTACATGCACAATCAAGAGAGGACAAAGGAAGAAAATATCTTTTTTGTTGCTTTCTTTGGAGAAAGGAAGATTGATAGATGGGTGTAGGTGGCTTAGAGCAACTCTGGCAGATGTTGCATAATTTGAGAATCGCCATATTGGTTATGTAGTCGATCGCCAAAAATATGGATGCTGACTAGGCTGCCTGCAAAGTCAGGTTCACTATATTCCAACCTCCAAATTTTTCTCACCTTGTGGGGCACCTTCTTTCTTTCGCTTTATTTTCCCCTAATCTCTCATCCCGCAACCACACGTCCGAACCACCCTCTCCAGATCGCCCGTGGCTACTCTTAGATCAAGCCAGCCAGCGTCCCATGGCTACCCTCAAATCAACCTAGTAATCCAACTACGGATTACTCCTCCTGATGACACACTGGGCTATTTGCTCCCAGCAGCACTAGCACATGACGGCGCCATGGGCTTAAGCTCCTACGAGTTACGGCGACCATCCTCTCTCTAGGAGCTGTCGTCATGGATGTGCACGACACGGTCCTGCACCTGACTCCATGGGCCTCAAGCTCCTATGAACCACGATGACCTTCCTCTCCAAAAGCCATGGCACGGAGCTTCGCGGGGGTAATCAGCTGCATGAGCAATGACGCGATTCCAGCGGCGACGACGACTCAATTTTGACAATGACGACTCGAAGTTTGAAGGCAGTGCTCGATTCCAGTGGGATGGTTGACGAAAATTTTCCCTCCAGCCACGCCCAACAAATTATGGAGTGTTCTCTAAAGTATCCCTCCCATCCTTCAATATGGAGGTTGGGAGGCCAAATATGGAGGGAGCTCCAAAAATGATGGCGATTGAGGTGTGGATAGCAACTCCGGTGGAGCTGCTTTTTGTGGTTCGTGTTCCACATGGCAGTTATTATGCAGTTCGGGTGAATATGGCGATTGTGATAGAGTTCCTCTTACCTAGAGAATACCTAGGGCTAGTTCTTGGGTGGCTTAAAAAAATAAGCTACCTCTCCCCAGCTTAAAAAAGTAAGTTGCCCCTTAAATTTTTGAGCCTTGCCAATTAGTTATCCATAATTTGTATAGAGGACCTAGTGAATGAGAGGCGGCTTATGGAATAAGATGGGAAGAAGGCGGCTTATTTTTTAAGCTGCCAAAGAACATGCCCTATAGTGGTGCACTAACAAAAATTGAATTTAGGTTTGAAAGAGTTTGACATTCTAGCAACCTCTCGATAACACCACATGATAAGAAAGCGATTACCAGGATCCGTGCAGAATAGTTGGGCTAGTTGACAATAAAAGGAGCAAAAGCAAAATTTGCCCATGTAAGTTCATTTAACAAAGAGGGATCAGGGAACAGGATTCCTTGGTTGTAAGCAAACCAATGGTCCAGGCCGAACCACAAAGAAGCACACAGTTAGAAGACGTAGTACTCATTCTCACAGAATCCTCCAGCCACGCCCAACAAATTAACGGTTGAACCGTTGGCCAAAACTTTGGCGTATATTCAAAATCCTGGCCATGATCCAACCAAACGCACGCCAACGCCCTCGGTCAACATGGAAAAAATGGTAAGGCGATTGTTGGCTGCCATCCAATTAAACGTACCCATAAACTCTTGGTCGAAAGTGACCGTTTGTACAACCTTGTGGTACGCACACTTGTCGCCGTATAACATACTCCCTTCGTTCCAAATTACTTGTCTTAAATTTGTCTAGATACGGAGGTATCTAGCACTAAAATGAGTCTAGATACATCTGTATGTAGACAAATCCAAAACAAGTAATTCCGAATGGAGGGAGTACAAGATAGGTGATGAGATCAAAAGGCCTACAAGTAGGGCTAGCTCTAGCGCCGCCGACCATGGCATGGACCAAAATGCAAGGGATAACACATATCCAACGCCCTGTCCAGTTTCTTTCCTCCTTCCTTCCTTCCTTTTTTGATGAAATCTCCTCCAATCTTCTGCACAACTAAGAGAGGATCAAGAAAGCAAAGATCTTTTTTGTGAAATGTGCATATTATATAGTATTATAACAGTAAGAGATAACACATATCCAAAAATGTAGAGAATCTCTCTTCTTTCCAAACCTACAACGTACAACAACAGCAACCTATACATGCACAATCAAGAGAAGAGGAGAGGAGAGGATAAAGGAGGAAAAGATCTTCTTTGTTGCCGCCTTTGGGAAAAGACGGATCATAGATAGATAGGTGTAGGTGGCTGGCTGGCTGGGGCACCCAGCCCATGATTGATAGCAGCTACCATACCAAAAGATGAGGCGATGAGGTGATGCATCTCTCTCTCTCACACACACACACAACACACCACACCACACGTAGATGATGCAGAGGCATACACTTGCATGCTACCCACAGCACACCACACAGTTCCCGTCTGTTGTAACCGATCTGGCCTCTGCTCCGGTGTCTGGTCCGGTCACCTTTCCCGGCGGTGTGGTGGTGGTGGCGAAACCAAAAGCCGCGCGCCGTACCTGAAACGATTCCCCCTCCCTCCCTTCCCTCGCTTTCTCCCTCTTCTTTCTTGCATCATCTTCCCTCCCTCCCATGGACAATCCCTGCCCACTCGCCCTCTCCTTCCTCCCTCTCTCACGGCTATAAAGCCCGCCTGACACCGACCCAACCTGCTCGCCCGCCCGCTCGCCGCATATCTTCCTCTCCACCGGCTCGATCGCCTGCCTGCGCGCGTTGGTGGCGGAGCGATGGGAGGGGGGAGCGGCGGCGGCGGGGTGTGGCCGGTGGTGGTGATGGTGTTCCTCAACGCGATCGCGGCGGTCATGGTGTCGCTCGTCAAGGTGGCCATGAACGGCGGGCTGGACCCGCTGGTGCTCGTGACGCTGCAGCAGCTCACGGCCGCCATCTTCCTCGGCCCCATCGCCTACTTCCGGGAGGGCAAGGCGCGGCCGAGGATGACGCTGGAGATCTTCGCCTACCTCTTCGCCAGCGCGGCGCTGGGGGCGGCGCTGCGGCAGTACATGATCTTCGTGGCGCTGCGCTACACCACGGCCACCTTCGTCACGGCCTTCTCCAACGTGGCGCCGGTCCTCACCTTCCTCCTCGCCGCCGCCACGCGGTCCGAGTCCCTGAAGCTCAGGACCGCCACGGGCGTCGCCAAGCTCGCGGGCACGCTGGTGTCGCTCGCGGGCGCCATGGTGCTCACCTTCTACCGCGGCGTGCCCCTCACCCACGCCCACCACGGCCAGCTGCACTACTCCGCGCCGTCGCCGGTGGGCGCCGACCCTGCCGCCGGCAAGAGGTGGACGCTGGGCACGGTGGCGATCCTGGGCAACTGCGTGTGCCTCTCCTGCTGGTTCCTGCTGCACGGCCGGCTCGCCCGCAAGTACCCCTACGTCTACTCCTGCAACGCCTTCATGTCCACCTTCAGCTTCCTCCAGGTGGCCGCCGTCGGGCTCTGCGCCCACCGCAGCCTCGGCCTCGCCGCCTGGCTCGTCACCTCCAAGTTCCAGATCCTCACCATCCTCTACGCCGTACGCCGCCATACCTCAACTGAATTACTTGTATCAACTGTCAGTCACTGACGACCAGCTCGCTTGTCTGAATTCGTCCAGGGCGTGGTGGGGTGCGGGGTGTCGTTCGTGCTGCTGACGTGGTGCATCGAGAAGCGGGGGCCGGTGTTCGTGGCGGCCTTCATCCCGGTGGTGCAGATCATCGTCTCCGTCATGGACTTCACCGTGCTGCACGAGACGCTCTACCTCGGAAGGTAATACTGCGACACCTCACCATTCCACCAGCACCACACCTGATCATGCAGATTCAGAGTTTCAGACAGACACTGAGAGATCATGCATGCACCTGCCTAGTGTCCACTGTCCACGCATGATTGACTCGACTCGACACCTGACAATATAATGGCGCTTTTGCAGTGTGCTGGGATCGGTGTTGGTGATAGGTGGGCTGTACCTGCTGCTGTGGGGCAAGAGGCAGGAGGCCCTGCAGCAGCCTCCAAAAATTGCAGAGGATGACAGAGAGCAGCAACAGCAGCAAGCAGTGCAGCACCAGCAGCAACAGCAACAACAGGTGCAAGTCCAGATGCAGCCCTGACTGAAGATTGGGAAAACAGAGGAGCCCCCCATCAATTGGGTGGGTGTTAACAAGTGCAGCAAATAAGTTCTCCAACACTTTTCAGTTTTTTTTCCCCATGTTCTTGTGAGACCGCCATTAATGGTGTAAATTAAGCTTCAGGGCACTGTCAGTCATGTCGTGAAGCTGTTTAGGTTCTGATCCAGACAACACTCGGTAGGATAATGATCTGAAGATTCTAAACCAAAACTAATAGACATTCAGAGAAAATATGTATACTAGATGTCGCCACGTTTTGTATGTTTTATGTTTTTCAAGAAGTGTATTTTTTTCGTGGGGACATACGTGAAATGTTCTAATTAACTGCAAATTTGTAAGAGCTGTATACATGGCAATGGCATTATTTGAGTGAAATACTGTTGGTGAATTTTAGCAGAGGGGATAGTAGTGGATATATAGTTGGGAGTTGAAATAAACCAGGATGAAAAATATCAGAAATAATACACCCTTTATCTACTTTTATTATGTACGTACATCAATCTCTTCGATCGCACGAATAGGCGTGCGTCGGCACATATGCACAAGAAAGTGCCAAGAATGAGAAACACATGAATCAGTAGACTTCGACGTTCCATTGCTCCGACTTCTTCAGTTGCTTCCTGTAGTCTATCCAGTCGATCCCTAGCATCGTCAAAACGACGCAAAATTCAGCGCCATTCGCACTAAACTGCTCAAGTTATTGTATCAACAAAAATAAATAAAATTCAGAAGAATGTATTGTAGTACCTTCTTTTGAAGCCAATGGGATCATGATCTCATCAATACCCTTCTCCATGCCCTTCAGTCCACACATGTACACATAGGTGTTGTCTTTCTTCAGAAGCTCCCACAGCTCATCCTTGTACTCTGCCATCCTGGTCTGGATGTACATCTTCTCTCCCGCCACGTTGGTCTCCTCCCTGCTGATGGCGTAGTCGACCCGGAAGTTGTCCGGCGCCTTCGCCTTCATCTTCCCAAACTCCTGATGTTCACAAATGCAGGTGCAGCCAAAAAAGATGATCAAGTGTCACAAGAAACAATGAAGTAGCACTTGGAGAGAAAAATCTCATGGAGGCTACGAGAGGTGATCGATGTTCCGACCTCTGGGTAGAGCAGAGAGCTGCTGGTCGGAACTCCCAAGAAGAGCCAGGCTAGGCCATTGAACTGCACAAGAGCACAAGGGATTCACACATTAATTTGTTGATTCAGGTTTCTTGTGAACATAAGGTATTCAGTACCAGGTGGGACAGGGAATAGCAGACAAACATCATAAGCACTATGTATGTATTACCTTGTAGTCTTCATACTTCTCAAAGAACATCTTCCACAAGAATGACCGGAATGGCGCGATACCGGTCCCTGTCGCGAGCTGCAAGCAAACGACAACATTGAAATTACTAGTTGGCCATCAGTTTGTGATGGATGAATTGTTGAATGTTTTAATCATCGGGTTCAGGCTCACCATGATGATAGTAGCATTTGGGTCTTTAGGCATGAGCATTTCTTTGCCTACCGGCCCTGTTATGTTGACATCGGCACCGGGCTTCAGGTCGCCTGCATTAGCATGGTAAACAACAAACATGCCAGTGAGAATGAGACACTACCAACTTGTAAAATAGCAGTGATTAAATCCAGTGTTCGTAGATGGTGATCCAGACATAATTTATGTTTCCCAATATACATAATTCATCAGCACAAGAAACACATCTTGATGATCTGGAAAGCCTGCAAAGCCTGAATACAACGAACTCTGAATTCTGAACAGTAGCAGATTATTTTTCAGAGAGAAGTACAAGGGGATGCAATGCAACTGAAGAATAGCAGCCGAGACAGTGCCAACTTGTAAAATCCATTGCAGAGATAAGATTCATGGATTCCAGTGAAGAAAACACAAATTTAAATGAGCCTGAGCTGACTAGCGTTAGTAAATCATGATGCAGATATTCATTGGCACAAGAAACAGATTATTTAAGGTCTACAATTCCTGAACTGAACCGACTCTGAAGCCTGGACACTAACACCTTGTTCAGACATAAGTATAGGAGGATGCAATAGCCACGATAATGAGAATGAGATACTAGCGAGTTTTAAAATAGCTACTAATTAGCATAAGAAACAGATTATTGATGATCTGCAGAGCCTCGACTGAACCGACTCTGAATACTGAACACTAGCGATTGATTTTTCGAAAAGGAAGTACAGGGGATGCAATGCAACAGAAGAACATTCTGCCAAATCCATTGCCGAGATAATTATTTTGGATTGCAATGAAGAAATAGCATTAGCAGGAATGTGTATAATTTAATAAAAAAGAAGGATTAACTCATCCTGATATCTGAACTGCAAAAGGCCTGAACTAAACTGAACACTGTTAAGTCTGAATACTTTTTTCAGATTTTTCAGAGCCGAAAAATGCAGATTTCCTCATCTCTGGGAGTTGGGACTCACACAGGAAATTGGAGCAGACGCCCTTGACGACCTCCCCGGCGTCGTTGGTGTAGACGAGCCGCTTGACGCACAGCGAGACCTGCAGCCGGATCGATTTCAGTCAGCGACAAGCAGTGCCAACGGAGCGGCGGAATCGACGGATCGAGCGTACGGTCTTGGCGTCGCCGAAGTCGCCGAGGGCGCTGCTGGCGATGGAGTAGAGGCGGAGCTTGTGGGGCTTGCCGTTCTTGTCCTGGCCGTCGGCGACGACGCCGATGGACTGGCCCTCCTTGTAGGGCACCTCGCCGTCGGTGGAGAAGACCATGTGCCACGTCTCCCCGGGCGCGTCGTCCGCGGTGATCTTGGTGTTGAGCAGGCACTTGCCCACGTACGGCTCCTTGGGCCGGAACTTGTTGGTCACCACCCCCTCCTCCTGCTTCTTGGACACCTTCTTCTCCTTCACCGGCGCCGCATCCGTGGAGACGGCCTGCGCCCGGACGGTGAGCACGCCGCGGCGGGAGACGGCGGTCGTTCTTGCGGCGCACGGGAAGCTGCAGTGGGAGTGCTGCGGCGCGCTGGACGGGGAGGTGGAGGTGGTGGTTGCGGCCCGGAGGGA